GTAAAACCCCGGCATCTGTCTGTTTGGTCTTGAATAATGTTTTTCTAGCTAATGTATTGAATCCGCTCTCTTTCCTCTCTGGCTCAGGTTCACATCAGGTCAGCTTTGTTCTTTCAGTTGGAGTTTCCTCTCCTCCATCGCTTACACACTGCTGCCTGTCGTGGCCTACCGTAAATTCTGAAGAAAAGGGACACACTGTTTTCACATTTAGGAAAAGTCAGCATCAAATACACTAAGAGTCAATCTCCAGAGAAGCAGCTCTAGAGCCCTACATAACCTGTATTCATAAGAGCTGTGTACACTCACCACAGTCAGCCATAAACAGACTATTTCCACATTAAACACATCAGTGACGTGTCTTTCCTATCAGACAGGAAGAGGGCGTAACCAAGGGAAACACCTGACCATATCCGAGGGTTTCTACTGACCCTTTAACCTCAGTTTGACTTTTTATTATGTGACATACTTTATCAAGTCTTGTATGCGGGACCTGGTGGTTGTTTGAAGAAAGTTATATGTTGCTGTTGGTTAACAATATCATTATATTTTTAATTACATTTTACTGTGCCGGACAATGTTATTACATTGATTTGATGGCTATAATGATATCTAAGAGAATACATTGCTATAGGGATTTCACATTGTAGTAACCCTATAGTTTTTGGTTCTTTATTTTGCAGAGCCTGGGGTTTTTGGTAATATTCCCTCATAGGAGCCTGGTTATACATGTACATGGTTTGTAGAGTTTTAAAAAAGTTGGATCAAGGAGGGATTTTCTGGCTTTCCTACTTCTACATTATTGAAGTATTTAAATGTACCACACAATAATGTTGTTTTCTCATCAAAAACATACTGTACCTGGAGTTTTATTTTGCTTCATTCACACATGTTACAAATCCTTCTCTCAAATAGAAAGCACTCTGTTCCACCTTGTGATGTCATGTGATAACACAGGAAGTGCTCCACTGTGTTTTCAAACTCCTTCACTAGATTTCAGCCCTGGAATCACCAATCTCTACTGAACTAAAGGTAAAAGTAGCTGTTGAAAACTACCACTACATGACATCACAAGGTGGAAATGAGCTTTGAAGATGTAGATGGATTAATAATAAAGGATTGCTCAAACACATGGGAATGAAACAAAACACAACTCTGGGTATATCTGTTATGAGGTAACAACATTCTAACATGAAGCTCAGAGTCAATGTGGTGTAATATAGGAGCTTTAAAGATATTATAGACCAGCTTTTGGCCCATGTTGCTGCGTGAGGTTCTTGACCAAGTAAGCATTCTCCGTTTTGCAAAATATAGACTAGAGCCAAGGTAAGCATCTTGCCCAAGGACACAACAACAGTGGTGGGAGTGAGAATCCAACTTAAGGTTAGAGAGAGCCCATTAATCATCACATTTAATCATTTCTTAACAGGGGTTTGTGCTGTAGTTTACGCCTCACAGACTGTTTTGATTGTAAAACACTTGCACATTTTAGCAGCAGACCTAAGTGTCAGGGGCTTGTTTCTGTCTTTCACTCACTGCTCTGTCTAATTTACTCACACTCGGTGACAGCTCCAGTCCCCCCTCCCTCGCCTCCCTCGTCTCCCTCACCCCTCTGTCGTCTGTCCCGTTTGAGAACTGTCCAGGCCAAACACAGGGCCTCTGCAGTCGCCCGTCACAGTCTGCTCAGAATGAAACTTGATTTGATGATGAAACCTTATTGCAACAAGCGGCCAAGTCAAGTTCAAATTATAAGTCTGCATTTTTATGAGGAGCTCAGCAGAGTTAGACTTCACAGCGCATAAACATCACAGCGTTTTATAGGAGTGCAGTTAAACAGAGGTGGATAGCCAGTACTTGGACTCAGAAGTAAGTAGTAAGTATTGTTGTTACTTTAAATGAATATTATGTTATTGACCTGTACTGTTACTCGTAGGAGTAAAAGAAAGAAATTTGGCCAACATTCAAGTACTTATTCACTGTAGGATTTATGATTTAGAGTTAATTGGACAGTACTAAATCATGGATGCATTTTCTGTGTTTCCAAAGCAGACAAAAATGTTAAAAGTTTCATAATATCTAAAAGTAAGGTGCAAAAATGGCTGCAAATACTCAAGTCATATTAGCATTTGTTACCTATAGACATACTAGTAGGGAGACACCTAAACTAAACCTTAATACAAGTAAGAGTTCATTACTACAAAAAATAATAATAATACATTAAACACAACATATTTTAAAGTAAATGGTGTCCAAAGCTACTTTAAGAAGCATAGAGAAGTAAGAGTAACTGAGTAAATGTAACTGATACCACCTCTCTGTTGAAGTGTAATTGGTCATCTCTGATTTAAGATGTAAAAAGGTAAAACCAATCAAAGAGTAGGCAACACTGACAAAAATCAGTTGTTAGTTGAGTTGTTAGTTGAAGTTTAAGTATCAGACAAACATGAAATGACTGTGAAATTACTGCAGAAAATATCATTATTGCCTTATTTTGGAATTTATTTCATTTCTATTCAGCTCTTTTTTATCACACACCATATACTCAATATTCAGATTTTTCATTTCTTCAAAACAAGTCCCAATAATTTATCATAATGTTGACCATTTGCCCACCTGTACCCTGGAGACTGTTAATGCGTCCTTGAGATGCAGCTGAGCAAACATGGCCGCCTCACAGTGACTGGGTGGTGGCTCTAACTTAGTGACAAATCCCTGTCTGTGTCTGACTTAACGTCTTCTACAATTTAGTCACATTAAACAGGACCGCAACACATGCTAATTCTCCAGGATGATGTATGACCTGTGTAAAAGTTGCAAGGGTTTAAAACGCAAGTCCTCCTCCGGATTTGCGATTTCTTAGTAAGGGTTGTCCAATAATCAGAGGATAGGTAGCTCATTCGTGCTGGTGATGTTTCTATGGGCAAGACACTTTGCAACATTGTGTGCTCTGCTCACAGTGTGGGAATGGCAAAAAGAAAGCATAAAAACATATCAGTTCGCAATGGAACTTATTTCTGGTGGGCATCCCATAAATTTAATAGAGTCATAAGGCATCCAGTGCTGTATTACTGATGTCAGTTCTCTATAGAAAAAGGCTAAGTCAGGGAGGGCATCTGACATCATTAACATCCAAATCACAGCATACAAGTATTTACTGTCTGTGGGGACCCTGAAATACATCACAAACATACCTGCAGTTGTGTTTTGTTTCATTCATACATGTTTAACACACAAACCCTGCATATTTAGGCTGAGTTCTTCTCTTAAACTGAAAACACTCCTTGTGATGTCATCAGGTAATACAGGAAGTGCTCTACTGTGTTTTTAAAGTCCACACACTTTCACTAGAATCATTTGGATAATTTGAGATCTGGGATTGCCAATCTCTATTGAACAAAAGGTAAAAATTTGCTGTTAGCGTAGAAACTATTGCTACATGACATCACAAGGTGGAACAGAGTGTTTAGCGCTTTGGAAATGTGTAAATGAAACAAAATACATCTCCAGGGATGTTTTTGATTAAGTAACAGCATTCTAACATGGCTTAAAGCTCACACGAATCCATTTTGTACAATATAGAACCTTTAATTACATTTTGACTTTTTATAAAACTGAATAAAATCTATATATACATAACTAAACGTAAATACATACCTAAAATACAGTAAAAAATGAATGAAATGTTTGCGTTTACTGAAATTGTGCTTAAAATAAATAAACGTCTTATGGTCTAAATTGCCAATGTAGCAAATGTTTCTGTGATTGCAAATCTGAAAAGTTACGAGTCTTTTAGAAGCACCTCTTTCAGGCTAAATGTGGAGATTTGAGAGCCTGTGTTGTCGACATAATGACATATGGTGCAAAAACGATATGCTGTGTTGGTAACCGCTAAACAGGCTTGGGCCAAAACAGTTGGTTAACGCTTTTATAATTAGCTGCAGTGTGAAACTTCGCAGACTGAGGACTGAGTCAAATTAAATCTTTGTGGGTTCAGATCTGGAGAGTTTCTGTGAGGCCACCAAGTCACTAGTTTGCTTTTGTGTTGCATTCAACAGCGCAAAATGGCTCCATCCTTCCCTTTAATTATCTTTCTATGGGAGGTTTGTGACGAAGAAAATAATCAAAAGAATAAACTCATCCGTGCAGGCTAACTTTGCTCCTGCTTGGAAATTTTGAGTCACTTCACTTGACTTCACTGTGGATTTGAATGCCAGCAGTGACCTCCCTGACTACAGCCCGTACCTGTGAGTGTCTGTAGCTGTCCTGCCACTCGCCTGCCTCACAGGGGGAACAGATAATTAAGACCAAACTCCGTGCCCTCGTCCGTAAACAGAATCTGTCATATGTGAATGCTGCTGAATAGAATTAGGCTCTGGTTCAAAAGTATTAGAGGGTAAATGACTGAGGAGCACGTTCAGCTGTACACTGACTCTACTGTGATGAGGGTTTGGAGCACGCCCGCACTGTCCCCACCCTGTCAAATACATGGGACCCAGCATGGAACTCCTACAGCTTTCAGACTTAATAAGGCTGCTGTACATCTACGCAATTTAAAGGTGCACTATATAACTTTTCTGGTGGAGGATCCGTCAAATGCTTTTCTCCATGGAGATGTCATTGCTTTGCTTGTAATGTTTCATAGTATGACATTAAGCAGCTCTATCTTACATGTATTAAATTACAGGTGGTTTTGTAGCTCAAAAATACCCAGAAAACAGATATTCTGACTGTGAGCGGGGTTGTCTCTCCACAGATCTGACCTGTAATTTGGTCTGGTTTGGTTTCCGTGAAGATAAAAAGGTTTAATACCATACTCTGAAACATACCAGACAAAACAATAACATCTCCATGGAGTAAAGCGTTTGACGGACCCTTCACCAGAAAAGTTATACAATGCAGCTTGAAGAAGACTTTTAAAACTATGTCTTAAATTTGAAGGACGAGTTTCAAAATGATTTGTTTTGTGCAATATATTCATTTAAAATTGTGATTTTGTTTTGCAGATTACAACAGCAGTGACCAGAAGACGGCCTGCAGGAGACACGAGCTCTATGTCAGCTTTCGAGAACTGGGATGGCAGGTACAACATGTTTAAAGCTTTTTGAAATCGTATTAATATGAGCATCATTCATTTAAATGTGCATTATGTAACTTTTCCGATGGAAGGTCTGCCACCTGCTTGTCTCACACAATTTCACAAAATAGCATTTAACATATCTATCACCTTGGAAACCAGCAGGAGCCACCACCAGGCCAAGATACAGGTCAGATCTATGGAGAAGTGACCTCACTCACAGTCAGAATGTATTTTTGAGTAATAAAAATGCAAGTTGGGTAAATTTTATATTATATTAAAATTCCTGCCACAGTAATTACATCTCTATGGAGACAAGCAGAACCACAAAGGTTACATAGTGCATCTTTTAACTTATTGTGTGCATTTGAAGAGATACAAAGGGAGAAAAAGGAATAATTAATGACTCATATAATCATTCCATTTCTGTATAATGCAACATGCAACATACATTTATAAATACTCGCTGAAAAAGACTTTTGAAATTACTTGAATTTCTACATAAAATGAAATTATATTGTCTGAACTTATCAGAAAGATACAGTAGGTAGAGTTATTCACAGCATAGTCAATACTGAGAGCTTCTAACACAGCAGTACTGACATCTAGAGGAGGGCTGCCAGTACAGAGGAGCACACAGGAAGAGATGACTGAAAACAAGCAGACTACAGACACACGGGAGCACAGACTAAACACTGAGACCAAAGCAGGTTTAGGATTAAATGTTCAGTGAATTTGTCAAAGCGTAACGAACAACGCAGGGAGCAAGGAAGGAAGGAAGGAAGGAAGGAAAGAGGAGAGAAGAATTGCTTCCTTGAGTGATTCCACAGACGAAAGAGCTTGAGCAGGGATCTGTCCTCAGACGTGGGGTCAGACTAAATTTATCTACAACAGCTAAAATAATAAACTCACTGAGCTCACAATAGTATGCTGTGTGTTTCATTCCCATTCAAAAAATAAGACGGACTGAGTAGTTTTAATGATCTAAGAGAGCCCTGTAGGGACAAAAAGGCAACTGTTACAAGTAAGTAAGTAAGTGATACCACCAGGCTAAGTTACAGGTCAGGCTTGTGTAGAGGAGTAATTGTTTTCAGTAATACAAAGACCTGTAATTGAGTAAAAATAATCAGTTCAATGCCATACTGTGGAACATGCCAGGCAAAGCAACATCTCCATGGAGACAAGCAGGTGGCATACATGACAGTGCACCTTCAAGCATTCATTTGAAAAGTTTTAGCTCACCTGGTAGGATTAATTTTGTGGAAGGCCTAGTTTGTTGTCAAGAAATAAAGTTTTGATTTGCAGAATTATCAAAAATACATGATATATTGTGCTTCTTTTCCAGTGCGAAGTTTGTTACATTTGCGCTGTAAAAAGTGTAATAATTATTGATATCCACTGTTTTCTCAGGACTGGATTATTGCTCCTGAAGGCTACGCGGCCAACTACTGCGATGGCGAATGCTCCTTCCCTCTGAACGCACACATGAACGCCACCAACCACGCCATCGTACAGACTTTGGTAAGACTCACTTCATACTTGAAAACCCCCAATATTTCACTTATGATTTAGTAGAAACACTTAAACAGTTTTCTTGATGATCTATGAGGCTTTTTTTTTCTTGTCTTTATTTTTAGGTGCATTTAATGAATCCTGAAAATGTTCCAAAGCCATGCTGCGCTCCTACCAAACTCCACGCCATCTCTGTGCTCTACTTTGACGACAACTCCAATGTCATCCTCAAGAAATATAAGAACATGGTCGTGCGGGCGTGCGGCTGCCATTGATATCACATAAGGACTACGCAATTTTAAAGTAATTCTGTTAAAGGGCTGCAAAAAAACTTGTTTCGATGCATTATGGAAAATAAAAACTTGGCCGTGAGAAGTAAATGCTTGGAAAAGACTAATACAAGTGACTTCTCTTCTTGGCTGCATTGTGGACATCTATGGTGTAAATGGCTATGTGACTGTATATGTGGGACAAACTTGGCGGTATATGAATATTATGTCAATGGAGAGCCTATGAACTAAAGATAAGGCACCTTTTCACCACTTGGGCCAAAATGTTGCTTGGACTAAAAGTCAATGCAGTTGAAGTCCCCTTTTGATAATACAACAAGAGAACAAGCTCACATTTTGAACAATATGACCTATTTCGATGCATTTTAATACATCCTACATGATAAACTCATTGCCTTCAAGTATTTTCATCACAACTCAAATTTGTCTTCCAGAAATACATAATATAGACTCAACCAAAGTGACCACGGTCTATTTCAGTGCTGTGCTGCTCCAAATATCCTCTCCGTGTCAATATTTGCGGGCCCAACTCACCGAGCGCCTCGACGTGATGCATGTTGTGGTGGAAGTGATGTTTTGGTCCAAAGAAGTCAAGAATACGGCCTTATCCCTCGGACAAACCGCAAAGGGCCATTTCCATGTAACTGCACTCGCAAAGTTAACAAACGCTTCCACCCCTGACAACCCATCAAGAGAGCGTGGAAAAACATTTAGCCAGTCAAAAACAGTTGGCTGAGGGGCAGCTGTGCCAGTCTTCTGAAATTAGCTCTCTGCTTTTTCAGCCCAAAGGTAAAATTATATTGAGTTTTTGTGTGCAGTGGTCACATCTTTCCACTCGCACTTGTTACTGTGAGCTTTGAACAACATGGACTCTTTAAAGGGACCTTATTTTTATGTACAACTAGTAAGTACCTAATGTGCCTAACCAACATAAAATATACCTCTGGTAAGCTGCTGTCCGTGTGACCATGTTTAAGACTGTAAATACTTGTACATTCTCTGCTTATTTATTGCACCTTTATATAAATGTATCACATTCCTTATTATCAGGCAGATGCAAGAACAAAATGAGAAAATTATTTTTGGAAAAAAGTTTTATTATGAAATCTCATGTTACAACTCGCCATTAAACACTTTTTTTGTACAAAATGCATGGGAAATGAAAGCCCATGGCTTATAAAGAAAATACTTTGTCACTGGAGATCCTTAGACCATGTGCTATCCATAAAGAACCTTCTGAAAAATAATCTTGGTGTTGTGTCTGAAAGTCCCTTCTAAAGTGTGTTCATGATAGGTGATCATACCTGGATGGTATTAGAGGAAACCTTTTTTTAAGACACTTGATCTGAAGTGTTCTTCTGTCAAAATTTATTTTTTTTTTAAAAGGACCAGTGTCACTTTTGGTCAACTCAAAATGGAAACACCATTTTCTTGAAGGTAACAGAACTACATGTGGTTGATGTAAGCTTTGCAACAGGACTTGGAGAGTACTCTATCAATGGCACATGGTCCAGGAGTGAACTTGTGTGTGGAGATGCGATGGAGGCTGACCAGTTACACTTCATAACAGACTAAACACAAACAGAAAAATTACGCAAAAACATTATTTCAGACAAGACAAAGGTTTGACATGTATCAGCTCTCCATCTCATCTCCTGGGCCACACAGCCGATCCCTGAGAGTTAAGTCACATAATGGAGAGAAGTACCTTCAACTTAACACTCGAATGACAAATTTTACAATCTCTGAAGTGACAATACATTTTAACCACAGATTCCATGAATAAAACTCATCTTTAAAAATGGCATCAGCTTCACAATTTGATCAGAAACAAAGTTAGGTATTTTTACTGCTACAACATGTCCACAAATAAGACATGTTAAATCCTGATTGCTTCACATACCCCCTGATACCATAAAGGCCTTCACCATTTTCACACATTAAAAGTCGCACGCCACCAATGAGAACATTCAGTCCAAGAATAAGACAGTCGGTGTGTCATTGACTGGAAATCCCAATAGAAGAGACAGATTTGACCGAAGCAGGACAGGTAGGAGTCCCTTAGGTCTGATATGCAGTTAGCTTGAGCAGAGTGGTAGAAAGTGAGTGGAAAGGTGGAGTTTAGATTACAGCTCGTCTCTGGCCTGTCTCATCACAAAGTTGTGGAGGGACTCGAGGTCACGCCCGCCGTTGTGTTCCTCACCCTGCACCCCTGCCCTGAACATGAGTAAAGTGGGATATCCTCTCACCTACAACAAAGGAAGACAAATCAGTTATATTATTTTCAAGAATTACCTTATGTTTTCAATTTGGTACTACTTTGTAATAACTATACATTAAAGGGCCAATATTACACTATTTTCTGATCTGGTTATAATGTCGGTTCCTCATCAAAAACATAACTAGAGTTGTGTTTTGTTTCATTCACAACATGTTTAACACACAAATCATGCATAGTTCTTCTCTTACTCTACTCATACTTCTCTAGAATCATTTGGATAATTTCAGATGTGGAACTGCCAATCTCTACTGAGCAAAAGGTAAAGGTAAAAACTATCACTTCATGACATCGCAAAGTGGAATAAAAGCATTTTGACCTTTGGAGATGTACACAGACTAATAGATTCATGCTAGCAGGTGAGATGCTTTTTAGAATGGAAAATTATTGAAATTTGTTTAAAGTTTCAGTTTGGATTTTGTGATAAAGGGCACATTAATGGGCACTAGTTGGCCTTTTTGGGAAATGTACAATGTGGAACTGAAAAACACCTGCTGCTTTCTCTATAAAAACATGGCATTTTGGGTGGAAATCACAGCTGTTAGAGCAAACTGAGGACTCACTGACAATGACTGAGCACTTTATAAGTAGTGACTAAGCCCAGAGGATGAACTTTGGCAAAGCAAATCTGCAAACGTCAATATATGTTTTAACAACTACAAATGGGTTTAATGATTCACCTCCGTAATAAAACATCCATAAACACACTAATACTAAACTACTTAAGAGGGTTTGTTTTGAGACACTCCTATAATGAGTTAGGTTTAGGTAACGCTGAAGTTGCATCTTTTTGCCATAGAGATCAGAAAAGAGATGAAAACATGATGTACACTGACCTATAAGTCCTCATATGTTTTGAATTAAAATCATGATGAGATTTTTTTAAAAGGTCCTATATTACATAAAATTGATTCTTGTGAACTTTAAGCCGTGTTAGAATGTTGCTGCCACCTCAAAAACAGACCTGAATTTGTGTTTTGTTTCATTCATTTCATTCTCTGTTCCACTTTGTGATGTCATGAAGCAGTAGTTCAAGTTAACGGCTACCTTTTACCTTTAGTTCAGTAGAGATTGAACAATGACAGAGATCAGAAAATGGCGTAATATGGGCCCTTTAACAAATATACATACACCACACATATGCATTATTTTAAAAATGATAATTATGTTTCTATGGCAATGTGATGTTGTAATCCTTTATCAATTCTTGTGATACAGTTGCTTTACAGATCTATTTTAAATTAACAAAAGGGAGGTACACATTCTTCTACTCTGTTTAGTTTTTATTTCTAAATTGTGTGTGACATGGGCATACTTACAGAGTACTTGTTGCAGACTGTGCGCTCCACTGTGCAGTCCACTTTGGCGATTTTGACGTCAGTGAGGCCCGGAAAGTCCTTCTTGGAGAGGTCCTCCCAAGTCGGAGCCAGGTTCTTACAGTGGCCACACCTACACAACACAATTACATCATATTATCCCACTCAGCGCCTGGATAAATACATGTCAAACTATGTAAATATCTTTCTCGCATGCAACAAGTTCCTAAGATTGGGGTTGTGCATTTTTTTTTACCAGTTAACATTTTTTTAAATTATACTTTGACTTATTTATGCTATTAAACTTATTAAGTTAAGCTTACCATGGAGCATAGAATTTGATGAAGGTAAGGCCTTTTTCTACAGTCTCATCAAAGTTGCTTTCCGTTAGGACCAATACACTGGACTGTAGAAAAAGAAAGAGAGACATTATAAAAAATATAGTGTACATTATGAAGTTTGATCATAACTCATAGGGATGAGCGATATATATCTGTACCGGTCGATATTCATACTAATGAGGTATTGGGCAACACAGATTCTCAATACAGGTATTTTTCCACACTTCCATAGTCTGAAAGTGCCCTCTTTGAACAGACTAATCAGTCAAAATATAAAACATAAAACATTATATGGCTGTATTTTTGGACAAACATGCAGCAAATTATTTTACACACCACTAAAATACATTTTGTTATTATTTTTACAAAAGTGAAATATTAATTTGTGATTGTTAGTTTAACTTAAGATAAATTTGTGAGCATAGCTATGGATTTTAAATGTGAAATATCGGTATCGGGAAATATCGGCCACAGCACTATGCCAAATATCGCCTCAAAAATCCATATTGGCCCATCTGTAACAATTCACCAAAATATAAAAAGTGTATGTCTACTTACTTTTTCTTCCTCTTTAGGTGGTTCTTCAGTGGGGATCTCATTGGCTCTAGGATCTTCTGGTTCGGGTTCATCTTTGCCGAGGACGGCCTTCAACTGGTTGTCTACAAAGTCTTTAAAAGAGTCCAGGTCTCTCTTGCCTCTGTACTGGTCTGTCTAAATGAGCAAAAATTACATATATTTTATTATACCAATGCTTAGCAGATTAACACTTTAAAGCCAGTCATTTTTTCACACCTTTGCTCCATTGTAGAAGAACAGTAGTGTGGGGTATCCTCTAACACCATTTGCAGAACACACTTCGTAATGTTGTGTACAGTCCACCTGCAAACAAGAAATAGATGGGTGAGCAATAGATAAGTATTTATGGGGACAGTTTGACTAAGAAATGAATAAATTTGATGGACTGATAATATTTTCAATATTTTGATAGCAGTATTATTGGACTTAGACTTAAGCTTAAGATAGACTTTACTGATCCACAAGGGGAATTATTTGGATACAGCAGCTCACACATCACAATATATTATAATAACAAAAGAGCAAAAATTACAAGAGTAATAATGCATTCTAAATAAGTAGAAAAAAGCAAGAGTAAATTTACTGCAGTAATTTAACCTACTGAACCTAGTTATTGAATACTGCATACTTTTCTATTGTGCAGTTCTATTGTGCATCTCAAGGGCCTTCTCGTCTCTTGAGGCGAGTATGTTCACTTTCAGTCCATGCAAATAATGCCAATGTGTAAAAATGTGTCGCTGTGGGACCAGAGACCAACCTTTCCTATTTTGACATCTTCAGAGTGTTCATAAGTGGTTGCGAGCTGCTCCCATGTTGGGGCCATGGCTTTACAGTGACCGCACCAAGGGGCGAAGAACTTTACAAAATGAGCACCTGCAGCGAGAGCAGAGAGGTCATGAGCAACGCAAAATCCATAAGATGCCATCAAATTTACATTTGACTTTTTCTTTTTATCCAGGCTTGGGACAGGCACAAAGATTGAAAAAAGTACTTATTCTCATTGGACATCAAAATCTCTAAATTATCATTAAGAACATTAATGACATTTACTTTTTACAGAGTTTCATAATGTTGTAAAAGTAAAATATACAGCTCTTATGTAGATGTTACACAAAACAAATGACTCTTGGAGCTCTGTTGCCAAGATGTGAAGGTGGGACTTATAAACACCATTTTAAACATGCGTGTGTCATTTCCTGCTGTCCTTCAGCCCCAAACAAGTAATTTATTTTTCCATTAAAAAGCAAAACATTTTACTTCAGATTGCCCAGTCGTACATTTGGGTGGACAATTATCATGACTGCCATTTGTTTTTGCAGTAATGTTAAAATCCAGAAATAACAGGTTAACGGGAGAGAGACTGTGGTTTAATATGTATGCAAGTACACTGACCTGACGTGGCCAATTGTATATGGTTTGTGGGATGTCAGTTATGTAAATCCGAAAGTACAGAGGGTTTTCCATTCAAACTCCAGTAGTATCAGTTTAGTTTTGTTTCGTTTCATATACGTTTTAACAGACATTATTTTGCATATACTCAATTTATTATTCATCAAACATTCTCTCATTTCCTTTTCTGCAACATCCATATGTTTTACCGTAATAATTTCATTACATTTTGCATATTTTACACAGAATACGTTTAGTACATTTGCCCATTGTTGCAAGATGGTCTTATTTATGGATTTATTGTTTTAAAAAAAAGGTACCATTTTCAGTACTTTTCCCCATTCAAAGATATTTTATTCTGAATTGCCGAGGCAACTGTGATCATTTTTATTTTATTTTTAATACTGTCACCTATTTCAGTTATTAGGAACTGAAATCAACTTTCTGCATTTGCATACTGTGTAAACAAGTTCAATGGAAAAGAAGTGAAAGAAATAAAAAGGTGCATATTGTCAACTATTTCAGTTATCAGAAACCGAAATCAAGTATTTGCATATAGTGTAAACAGTGACATATTCACTCCGTTACCTTTAGCGATGTGTGTTTTGAAGTTGTGCGCGCTGAGTTCATACATGCCCTGTTTAGGCTCTGGGACTTTGGGAGGCTCCTGTTCACTCTCTGGTTCCTAAAGACAATGTAGCTCAGTTAGGTCACACCATACTGACAAACAGTTGACAAAGACAACATGTAGACAGCTATGTCTCTCACAGCGGGCTCATCCTGCAGGGTTTTGAGCATCCATGTCTCCAGGATCTTTAAATCCCTCGGGCCCTGGTACTTCACAGGTTCCTGGTCTGGCTTAAACAGCACTAGTCTAATTGAACAACAGAAAAAATATACAGTTTAGTCAAAGTTGAATTTGCAATTTCTTATAATTTACCATCATAAATCCTTACATATTTAAAATTGGTAAGATATACATTTATCCAGACATTACTTGCATCAAGTAATGGCAAGTGTACACAGGAAAGTTTTTGGACATGCTTTTTTGTTAGCGGACTGTTTCTATTAAGTAAATTTGAGCATTTGGGTCTTTGCAGTAAACATTTACACTTGAGTAGACCAAAATGTGGAAATTTTAAAATGTAGGTACAAGACGTAACCTTTCTTATTGAAAACAAAATTACAAAACATAGCAACTATTGCAACAGGTGCATTATGCCACTTCATCACATCACCATGGAGATGCTCCTTTAGTTAGAATGTTCACCAGTATAGCATTAACTAAATTACAGTTCAGATCTGACAGCTCACAGTAAGAATACATCTTTTTCAAAATCAAATGTAAAAAGTGTAAAATGCAAGTTTAATTTATTGTCATAATGTGAACATCCATGGTGAAGTAATAAATTCTCCACAGAGACAAGTGTTGGAGATGGCTGTCACATGAGTAGCTGAGGATTTCTATCAATCATTATAACTGTCTAGTGTTGAGAAAGCAGAATGACTTGTGCCAATACTGCTACTATGACTCTGCATAAACAGTTATATGCAGAATTTACAGTTCATACTGTATCATATGGACTTACGTTGGGTAGCCTCTGATGCCGTGTTCATTTGAGCAAAACTTTGTATTCTGGACACAGTCAACTTTAACCACATAGGCCGGGGGGTCGTCCATGCTATTGTATTTTTCTGCTAGCTCATTCCAGGTCGGCTGAAGTCTCATGCAGTGTCCACACCTGGAGAAAACAGGAAATATGACACAAAACTGAATGCTTTTATTCATTTGTTCAAAATAACTTGCTTGTATTTTTAATGGTCATGTTGAATAATAACAAAACTTGTGCATACATGTCTTTAAAAAGTGAAAGAACCTGATTGTGAAAGTCTTTGAAGGTAACAACAGGTTTGACTCAAGAGTACACCACAAAAACAATTATTAAATTCTTCCCAATTAAAACATTATGGCCACGTTTCTTTGGCACTGATCCAACAACTCTCCCCCTCCTCCATACAATTTATTCAAACGCATCCTACTCCGGTTTAAAGCATCTACAACAATAAGTGTCATTGTTGGATTTGTGTAATATTGTCAGAGACCCCTGGAGGGCACGGCCAAGTCTCAATCAGTGCTTGCCACGTATGCGTACTGCTCCATAAACTTTTTCCAAGGCGTATGTCTTTTGTCTAAATATCCATGTTAAATGGGTTTACAGATACATTTACAGTAGTTAGCTCGTACATTATATTACTTTGAATAGGTTCTTGCATGGTTTAGCTTGCTAGCAGATAAGCTAAGCACTAGAGTTCATTGGATTGTATGGAGCGGCTAAAAGTAGCATGGTTGCTAAAAAGCCGGTAGCTTCCAACTCTTGTCCCATTGGAATGCGCTCAACCCATAGCCATACAACATAAAACTAATGCCCTATACACAATTTAACCCGCTTTATAATTGCAACTTTGCAGATGAAGTGTTAAATAACAGATTTTGACTTACCACGGTGCGTAAAACATGACAAAATGTGGAGCAGTTGGCACAGCCTCTTTAAACATCTCTACAGTGTACGTGTGCTTGGCGTGTTCATCTTCTTCTGCATCTCCGTCACAAAACACAGCAGAAAACAATAATGTACAGTAAATTAAACAGAACCGGAGAGGTATGAAAGTCAGTGCCGAGGCCATGGTGATCTCTGTGCGGGATGACGAGCTTCCTGCTGGTGGGAAAAAGAAAAAGAAGAGACAGGGATGGGACGGTGCACGCCTCTTTTCAGGAGCCACGTAAAGCGTTGCACGCACTGGATGAGATACGCAAATTCAGACATGTGAGAATTTTGAAAAGAAAATGTTATTTTTATAGAACCATGGAAAAATGTGATATAGATCTGAGATTAAGACTTCCTCCTATGTTCTGACAGGTTGGAAGAAGTGCCACTCTTTTGAGAAGTACGGAAGCCCATTTGGCCAAAGGTATTCAACAATTGAGAAAAAGTTACGGACGGTCAATTGATTTTACTGGTATTTTAATGTTTTTATTAAATAAGCCAATAACAAAATAGTTTGAGATATTTAAAATAGCTAATTAGACTCACTAGACTCATTCATTAATCTAAGTCTGGATCAGGAATATTTACAACAAATTTGCCTTTTGGATTCTAATTTAATAGCCTAAAACATTGAACTTGCACCTTTCATGACACACAGGAAGTACTTTATATTAGGATGACCAGAATTTCAATATGAAAAACTGGGACGTCCCCGTTTTTTTTGGGGTTGTTGGTGATAATAAAATTGTGAAACAAGTGCGTAATTACGAAAATTGTCATGCAGAGACCGTTCATAACTAATATGTAAGTCAGTATAATAAAATTTTCTTTGTCATTTTTAAGCATGCTTTTTTGTATTTTACAGAAAGGGCTCAAACTGGTCAAAAATAAGGACACCTGGGACATTTCTTGTATAAAACTGGGACAAATCACTGGTTTTGGATAAATCTGCTGGGACAGCGGACACAGGGCTCAAAAATGGGACTGTCCCGGCTAAATAGAGTCATCTGGTCACTCTTTAGTATGCATTTTTCATTCAGCCCATAATTGGGGATTGTATAGCCTACTAATGAAACCACAGCTGCCCACAGTGTCTTGCCCAAGGACACAACTACAGTATGCACTAGAACCTACTGCCTGACTACCACACCTGCAATTCTCAGCGGCCTCTCATATGAGTACCAGCCATGCCCAAGATTAGTCGAAATTGTTTCTGGAACCTAGTCAAATCCCTAATAAACTTTCTTAATGATAATTCAGAGCAACATTTTCACAGCATTAGGCCTACATCATTTTGTATTTATTTATTTAGGCTGATATTAAATAGGCCATGCCACAGTTTCAACACATTGCCTTTAATTTTGCCAACACTTGACAGATCTTAAGTTAAACACGATTTTAAAAGTAATATATCAATGCAACATTAAAGGGATACTGAGTGAGGTCATAATACAAAGGTTAAACTGAACCGCAATTAGGGATACATAAAGAGACCTGTGGAAAGACTGTCCACTGTTAGTTGATTGATTTTAAATGGTCCAATAAGCCATGCTCCAATGCACTAGTTTGGCAGAGACTTCAGTTTTCCTTCACACCTGAGAAAGGCCTTTCTTTCGCACATTGGCTGCCCTTACAGTGATACTGCTACTATAAATGCATTAAGACATTTATGAAAAACTTAAATATTAGTAAAGAATGAGCTACAGGTCTCCTAGACTTCACTGAGGGCAAGGTCAGTTGAGTCAGAGTTTCCTGCCTCCTCATTTTGTTTAAGTGGAAATTAGTGGGAGTTGTATTTTAGGAAAAAATAATGAAGACAATTTATTAAGTGAATACGTCTTGCACACATAAACATAATAGTCAACTCATGGAAGCACCAAAAGTCTCATAGGGTTGAACTAAGGCACAGTTATCATTATTCCAATATAACCTGATTCTGTATCCTTATTACAAATAGAAAATTTAACAATATATAAAAGATATCCCATTTAACAGGAATTGTTTTATTATTGAAATGTATATTCAGTTTTAGTCTTCTTCTCAAGTTTGTCCGAATTTGATTTTCTAGTCCTGGTTTAGTCCTCATAATCCAGGTTAATTCCAGGTTTGGATCCTTAGACCTTGGTTAAATTACCTTTAAATTAATCAACTAACCAAATCCACTGTATTGATATAGCAGATTTTATAAACATACAACAAGGTACAGCACAATATAGTTGACATGAAATTATATCAGAGTAGTTCCACTAGTTGTTATTAAAGTGTTGCTGACAGATTAAAAAAAAGAAAAAGAAAGGGAAAAAAAATTACTTCCTAGTTGGAAATTGTGACATTACTCTTGGGAATTCCATAATTATTACCTATAGCAACCATATTGTACACTATGCCAAAAGTCCTCTCATGCACACAGAAATTGATTATTTGTCATATAAAAATATAACAAACACCTTTATTTTGTTGAAATAATGTTTTAAATATGAGGAAAATGTGTTTCTTGTGTAAATTGGGCCAAACTTGGAAATAATTCTTCTTTATGGGATGTTACCAGTGAGTTTAAAATGCTCTACTTCTAGTAATTTTACAACATATTTCTCAACTTTTCTTCACAAATTACTTCTTGATTGGTGAAAAACTATAATTTGTATTTAAAGCAGGTAATATCCTACTAGATTAAGTCAAAAAATAGAGAATCATAAAAGCCAAATAGGAAACCCCGATAAAGAAAAAAGTAGTAATTTGCTGACTGTAGAAATTATTGCAGTAATATCATTATCACAATATTCAACATAAATTTTTCTCATATCGTGCAGCCCTTTAGTCTCTTATATGAAAGCTTTCAAATCCATCTGTGCTCTTTAAGGCATGTGTTCTTTGATCCAAACAGAGGGATGAGGTTGCATCATGGGAACAGAGTCAGATGGGACTTTCTTTCATAAAAGGCAATCTGTACTGGACCTTCTATGTGGAAGTGGGTGAGAATGGGCCTACCATGCACCAGTGCTGTTTGAAGCTAGCCGCTCTGGTCTGAGGTGTTTATGAAGTGTTCCTGGTCTCACGGCTTCTGTCGGGACATTTTCCGAAGTTCCCTGGCAACCACTGAAACAGCATGGGTAAAAACAAGGGGTCTCCCAATACTGTTTTTACCAGAACAAGAACAGAGCAATGGGAATAGAACACATTCAAGTAGGATTGTATAGCAGATAATGTCCAGTAATTTACGGACATTCCTAATTTGGAGGATTTTGTGAAGATCTTTCCCCATAGGTGACCATAGGTCATGAGCTTTGGGTAATGACTGAAAGGACACGATCGCGGATACAAGCAGTTGAAATGAGTTTCCTTTGCACAGTAGAGATAGGGTAAGGAGCTTGGTCATATAGGAGGAGCTCAGAGTAGAGCCACTGCTCCTCCACATCAACAGAAGCCAGCTGAGATGCCTCAGGCGTCTATTCCAGACACCTCATGGACCCCTCCCTGGGGTGGTGTTGCAGGCACATCTCTCCCACTGAGAGGAGGCCCAGGGGAAGACCCAGGACACACTGTAGGGACTATGTTGGCCTGGGAATGCCTCGGGGTCCTCCCAAAGTGCCCAGAGTGAAGGAAGTCTGGGAGTCATTGCTGAAATTGCTGCTCCAATGATCTTGCCCTGAATAAGCAGAAGAAAATGGATGAATGGATATTTAACAGGCCTACTGTTTACTGCCATACTATTATTATTACTATTACTAGGTTCTGCTACTAATAGCTACTATTATTGCATCCAAAATAGCAAGAAGCGAGAAGGTGTAGGTGGTGTTAAGTCCTGAGTAAAACCAATCTTTGAAAACCTTAACCAAATTTAATGGTTGAAACCCTTTATATTATGAAAAAGTGTAGTTTCACATGCTTCTGAAATTCTCTGCACCTGTACGCAGATTTTTCCCTTTTTAAGGTTGAATTTAACTTCAAAGTAATTTAATCTTTTAATGTTGTAACAGTTCTGATCATATTTCCTCTCTGATAAACCACTGCTTTGTCAGGAATGTACGAACGCCCACTGACCAACGTTTATTTGAGATCTTATATCAAAAGCAGTCTTGATGCACACTGTTGACCTCTTGGTTTGTATACCCCCCTCATACAGAGACTGAAAATTATACACTGATTTTTTTCCCTTTGACTTTTTGTGCAGGATAAAAAATCTCTATAAAGACTGCACCCTCCCATCTGGGCCCTATTGTTACTGTGGTGAAGCTGTAACCACATATCATTATTTAATCTTAACATGTCATACTGCAGTGCTAAATAAGACCAAATAGCTGTTGACATGTTTCAAATTTCTCCCAGTGAAGCTGAGGCCAGGCATACTTGTGGGTGTCTACTGGTTACCCTATTGTTCAGAGTGGGCATCTGGCCAGAGAGGCAATAACATGGTGTAATAGGAAAAAGAAAGATTAATGGACTCATGGGAGCAGGGGAAGTCTGTTTATTTTCTTAATTGCCTGGGGTGTGTGCTGAGAGAGAAAGCAGAGTGGGCAGGTGGCAGCCTCAAAAGAACAGTAGTGGGATTTGGGATGGAGACACATGGAGAATACCTAAAAATCTAGTAATGTAAGTGAATATATGTTCAAAAATGCACTGTATAACTTTTCTGATGATGAGTCTGCATACATTTTGGTCTCTAGGATGATGCTTTGCTTGGAATGTTTCACAGTTTGGTATTAAACTTAACTATTTCCATGGAAAGAAGCAGGAGATGCCACCAGATCAAGATACAGAGCAGATCTGTGCCGAGGATGGCCCGCTGACTGTAGGTGTTGTGTGTTCTTTGAGCAATAAAAACACCCATAACTGAATCAGTGGAACGTGGATAGGTTTAATGCCACACTGTGAAATCACATTTCCATGGAAACAAGCAGGCAGCAGACCCAAAACGTTACACAATGCACTTTTAATGGAAATCAAAGATGCATAATTTAGAAGTTTTTACAAGATTAGATGCTTTTTTCAACACTAAATCTTCAACAATGATTTACACATTTCTTTTGGAGGTTTTAGTTTTACTTTATTTATTTAATGAGACAGGGACGGCGCACAATACACATTAACCTTAACCTTGTATCGGGTTATAGCGCCAGTGCTTATTTCCACCTGTAATCCCTGGGCAGGTACATACAAAGAGAATGTCTTTATAATGTCCAGAGCATCATAACAATTCTGTATCCTCATTCACACCCAGTTCTCTCAACACCTTAAAGGAACAGTTCAGAATTTTGGACATAGGGTCTCATTTCCTAGTGAGCCAGAGTATGTAAATGTGTGGAGACACTTTTTGAAATAATCCATCCAGTCCTTGCATTTGGAGAGTTTGTTGCGTAATAATAGATTTGTTTTGGGTG